TTTGGCAAGTTTGATTATAGTATGTCTTGTTGACTTTCTTTTGGGATCTACCTTATGTGGGGTTCATTGAGCATCTTGGATAGATATCTTCTCATCTTTCACGATGTCAGGGAAGTTTTCTGCCAACCAGGCTTCAATAATTCTCTCTGTATTTTCTGTTTTCCCCCCTGTTCTGGTACTCCAGTCATTTGTAGGTTATTCTTCTTGATGGAGTGCCTCATAATTCTTAGGGTTTCCTCTTTTTTAAAAATTCTTTTATCTGATTTTTCCACAAATAAATTGGTGTCAAGTGCTTTATCTTCAATCTCACTAATTCTGATTTCCATTGCCTCAGTTCTGCTCCTATGACTTTCTGTTGAGTTGTCTAATTCTGAAATGTTATTGTTAATCTTCTGGATTTCTGATTACTATGTCTCTGTGGATTCTTGCAGCCTGTTAAATTTGTCATTTTGTTATTCCGTAATCTTCTTAAGTTCCTGTATTGCTTTGTCTTTGTGTTCCTTGGCTTCTTCTGCCTTTTGCATTATTTCCTTTCTGTTCTCTTGTAGAGTTCTCTGTATTAATCTTTTGTATTCTACCTCTGGTAATTTCAAGAAGTTCTCTTCCTCCGGAAAATTTCTTGATTCTTTGTTTTGGGAGCTTGCTGAAGCCGTCATGGTCTGCCTCTTTATGTGATTTGATATTGATTGTTGTCTCCAAGCCATCAGTAAGTTATTTCATTTATTTATTTTATGTTTGGTTACTGTTTCCTAGCTCCTAGTTTTGTTTTGTTTTCATATGCCCAAATAGGCTGCTCGTATGAGGTAGTTTGATTATTGGCACCTTTGAAGCTCTAACATCCTGTCACCTGGTAGGTAGACGTCTTACTAGGTGTATGTGAGCCCTGGAGTCTGTTTACTTTTCTTGTATGTCTTCATCTCAGGTGTCCAGGTGGTCGGTCACCATGTGTGTGGTGCAGGCTCTCACTTACAGTCCTAGACAAACAGGGGTGATTGGTGTAGGTCCAGGTATCTGGCTGCAGTAGGGGGTCATGCACTGAGCAAGGCAAGGGGCTGACAGCTGCTCCTGAGTGTCTGGGAGGAAAGTGTGTCCCTGTTCCCTAGAGTGTATAGGTCGATGGGTTTGGCAGCTGGACTATGGGCACCCAGTGCTGTTGGGTGTAAGGACTGGGAGGTACCACTTATTCTTGGACCCCTCTCAGGTGTGGCTAGGTGGTGTGGGTGGAGCCAGCAGTCCTCAGATGTCTGATGTAGGTAGGTGAGGATCCTACTTAATGGGCAGAGCGGTGTCAAATGTCATGAACCTGCAACTCTGCCATATAGCTGATAGAATTGAAGTTAGGCTTCTAGTATATACCCTGTTGTACTGTGCTAATGAGGGCCTGCACTGTTGAAATGGGCACACACAGGTCTATGCAGGGGTGAAAGACATTGAACGTCTGTAGACCCTTTATGCCTGTGCCTAGGCAAGGGAGCTGTGCCTACCCTAAGTTCCTGGCTTAGGGGAGCCAGCAGATTATTTTTTCCTGTTTGTTAATTTGTTCCCTCTCCAACGCCGAGAGAATGGCTCAGAGCGCGTGGCGGACCCTACTTCTGGCCCAGGGGACTCAACCGTTGCTGAAGCCGGCCGGGGACCCAGTGCAGAGTAGGGAGGGGGTAGGTAAACGAGAAAGTGGTATTTGCCAAAGGGGGTGTTTTTTGATCTGTGCGGTAGGTCAGATGCTTGTACTTATCTTTCGCTGATTGAGAGCCGCTTTTCCCTGTTTCTGGAGGTCCGTGTAGACTCTGATGCTCAGTCTCCCAATGTGGAAAACGCCTCCTGAGTGCCACTGCTCGCCTCACCGTGTGCACCGGCTGATCTGGCCTGAAGGGTGCCCGTTCTCGCCGGTCAGGTCTGGCAGCTCCTCGCTTTTCCAAACTCTCTCCCTTCCCCTGCTCCTCAGTCCAGTTCTTCAACTTTTCTTTTGATGTTCAGGACTCCTAGATTGTCATATATAATCAGTTCACTTGTTTTTTGGGTGTTTGTTGTAAGAGGGACCACAGGAAGCATCTGACTGCTCTGCCATCTTGGCCCCACCTCAATCCATTCTGTTCTTGATGGACATTCTGCCCCTATGGGGCAGTCCTACTCTGTTCTATAGGGTCGCTATGAATCGGAATCGACTCGACGACAACGGGTTTGGTTCAGGTTATATATTCTGTATACATGTATTCCAAAATGTAGGTATCCTCCCCAGTTTGGCTCATCTGTTCATTTACTTACTGGTATGATTTGATGAACAGAAATTTTTATTTCTGGTTTTCGGCTAGTACAGTGATGGTCTGAAATGCCTTATATGTAATTAATGTACACTTGTGCAGATGTCAGCTGGATAATTCCTAGGAGTGGAATTTTGCATCATAGAATATATATATTTTCAGTGTTAGTAGATATCACCAGAAATTTCCCACATGGTTGTACTGATTTGTGTTCCCGCCAGCAATGAATGTGAGTTCCCGTTGCTCCACGTCTTTGCCACCACTTAGCACTGTCTCTTTTTTTTTCTTTAACTTTGGCCATTCTAAAAGATGTGCTTGTCATCGTGATTTTTATTGGCTGCTGTTTCACTGTGGTTTGGTTTATGTTTCCCAGATGGCTTTTCATGTTATTAGCCTTTCATGTGTTCTCTTTTGTGAAGTGCCTCTTCAAGTATTTTGCTCTTTATTCTCCTATTGATTTGAAGTTCTTTATATATTCTGCAAGGAGCACTTATTATGCAGTGGTTAAGTGCTTGGCTGCTAACCGCAAGGTTGGCAGTTCAAACCCACCAGCTGCTCCATGGCAGAAAGATGTGGCAGCCTGCTTCCATAAAGATTACAGCCTTGGAAACCCTATTGGGCAGTTCTACTCTGTCCTGTGGGGTCGCTTTGAATTGGAATCGACTTGATGGCAACGGGTTTGGTTCCGGTTATATATTCTGGATACGTGTATCCCAAAATGCAGGTATCTTCCGCAGTTTGACTCATCTGTTCATTTATTTACTGATGTCATTTGATGAACAGAAATTCTTAATTTTAGTGTAGTCCAATGTATCAGTCATTTTCTAGTGTCCATGTATTTGTCTCCTAGTGTTGCTGTAACAGAGGACCACAAAGTAGTGGCTTAAAACAACAGAAATGTATTGTCTCATGGTTCTGGAGTCCAGAAGTCAAAATCTAGGGTGTTCTCAGGGCCATGTTCTCTCTGAAGACTCTAGGGGAACATCCTTGCTTGTCTCTCCCAGCTTTTGTTAGTCCCATAACTTGTAGCTGCAGCATAAGTCCTTTGTCATCTTCCCTCCGTATGTCTCTTGTTCTCTTTTATAGGACACTGCTCAGATTGGATTAGGACTCACCCTACTCCATAATCTCTTGTTAACCGATAGCATCTTCAAAGACCCTATTTTCAAACAAGGCTGTGTTCAGAGGCACCAGGGGTTAGGATTTCAACATATCTTTTTGGGGAACACAATTCATAACAAAAAAAAAAAAACAACAACAGAAAAAAACAAACCCTTTGGTGTTGATTCTGACTCATAGCAACCCTATAGGACAGAGTATAACTGCCCTACAGGGTTTCCAAGGCTGTAAATCTTTATGAAAGCTGACTACCGCATCTTTCTTCCATGGAGTGGCTGGTAGGTTTGAACCGCCTTCCTTTCGGTTAGCAGTGAAGCAGTTTAACCACTGCACCACCAGGGGTCCTTTGAATCCTTATTAACAGTCTACTTTAAAAAATCTTTGTATATATTGGGATCATGAGAGTTTTCTTTTAGTGTTAACTTTCTAGAAATGTTGCTGTTCAGTCCCCCTGGAATTGACTTCTGTATGTGGTGTGAGGTAGAGGGTTGACAGTCTTGGTTGTTCCCCCAATGTTGATATCCAGTTGACCCTGTCTATTTATTGCAAAGACCATCTTTTTCCCCAGTGCTTTGCAGTGTTACCTGGGTCAAAAAAATCCAGTGTCTGTAAGTGTGTGCCTCTGCTGTTCTGTTCCACTAGCCTTCATCCATGCTCTAGTGCCATACTGCTTGAATCATGGTAGCTTTATAATAGGTCTGCTTGTCTGGGAGTATGAGTCTTCCACTTTTATTTTTCAGAATCATCTTGGATATTGCCTTTTTACCTTTCTAAATACATACTAGATTTGGCTTGCTGATTTCCACACGTACATACACCAAAAAAGAAAAAAAGAAAGAAAAAATGCCATTGAGTTGGTTTCAACTCATTGTGACCCCATGTGAGTCAGAGTAGAACTGTAGTCTATAGGGCTTTCAATGGCTGACTTTTTAGAAGCCAATTGCTAGTACTTTTTTCTGAGGCACTTCTGGGTGGATACACACTTCCAGCATTTCAGTTAGCAGCTGAGCGCATTAACCGTTCACACCACCCAGGATATTTCACACATACACACTCCCCCCAAAAGCATTTGTCCTCATGGAATACTGATTGAGTTTACATTGGCCCTTTAGATCAATTTAGAGAGAATGGACATTTTTAAAATACTGAGTCTTCTAACACATGAACATGGCATATATTTCTCCATTAAGAACTTCAAAAATTTCTCTAAAATTTTTGTAGTATTTTTGTTTAGAAGTTTTACATATCTTTTGTTACGTTTATTTATAGGTATGCATATATCTACCTATAGTTTATCCTCTTGCAAATTTGTCTTTTAAAATATTTATTTTCTAATTTTTTGTTGTTTGTATATAGAAGTGGACTTGATTTTCTTACGACCTTGGATATAGCAACAATGTAGGTTACTTCTAACATTTGATAATTATTTTATATGTTGATTTTGAAACAAGTTTTATTTTTCTCATAACGAACGCAGTTATTTACACTTTTTTTAGGTAGTAAATGATCTGTAGGAGTAGAATTCAACCCAGAGTAATTATCAACATTAATCACTGCTGTGATTATGTGTTTGGTGACAAAGCATACATAATGACCCCATTTTGTTTTTTTCTTTGAATACAGCAGCTCCAGGTGGTTCCACTGTTCGGCGACATGCAAATAGAACTGGCAAGATACATAAAGACCAGTGCCCACTATGAGGAAAATAAATCTCGGTAGGGTTAAAGCTTTTTGCAGTTTCTTCATTATATAATTTTATTGCACTATTCTTATTGATCTAGGGATGTAACCTTTGACATTCTCAGCTGTCTGGAACTTGACTTTCTAATACCTCATTACCTATTAAATTTAAATCCATTAAAAAAATGAAAAGTTCATTTCCTCAGCACTGCCACATTTCAAATACTTAATTGCTTGTGGCTGCCATATTGGACAGCACAGATATAGAACATTTCCATCATCCCAGAGAGTTCTATTGGACAGTGCTGGTTCAGAATATAGAAGCGTAAAAGAATTCTCTAGGCCTAGTGGTACGCTGGTAAATGCTTAACCATCAGCTCTGGTCAAGGGGCGGGGATGTGTATGTGTCTGTTACAGAGTTTACAGAACTATCGCCTGAGGGCCAAATCTAGCCCAGGACTGCTTTGTAAGGTCTTTGGAGCTGAGAATGGTCTTTACATGTTTAAAGAGTTGTTTTTGTTTAAGATGAAAAAAAGAAAAGAGGAAGAGAAGATATGACAGATAGGACAGAGACAGGTGGCCCACAAATCATAAAATATTTACTCCCTGGCTCTTTACAGCAAAAATGGGCTGACCCTTGCCATAAATTATAAATACACAATACTCTATTGTAAGTTCCACATAGCTAATTGAGTCTCATGGAATGCTTTTGTTGACTTTACTGAATGTTTGATCCATAGCAACCTGTGGTGGCAATTCAACCATGATTTTGACAAATTGTGTCACATCCTAATCTGTTTACTCAGGTGTCAGCAAAGTTTTCCTGTAAAGGCCATAGTAAATGTTCCAGGCTTTGTGGGCCACATATGGTCTCTATTGCTTTTTTATTTGTTTTTTTTTTTTTAATAACCCTTAAAAAATGTCAAAACCGTCTTGTTAGGTGCCATCGAGGCAATTCGAACTCATAGTGACCCTATATGACAGAGTAGAATTGCTCCATAGAGTTTTCTTGACTGTAATCTTTAAGGGAGCAGGTTGCCTGGTCTTTTCTCTCCTGGAGCCATTGGGCAGGTTTGTGCCACCAGGGCTCCACCAGGGCTCCACCAGGGCTGTACCAAAACTGGTCACACATGCCCTGGGCTATAGTTTGCCAACCTCTGTGCTAACTTATCTCCAATAAATCTGCCATTAAATCTGATATGTGGTTTACTTTAGACTGTTTGTCATCCTCATGTAAGATACATTCATTAAACTGAAGCCTCTTTAAGCTTTAACACTAAACCAAGTTCTGATTGGTGTCATTTACCAATTTCCCTGGTGTAAATATTCACCCCGTAAGTGATTTCAAGCTGCAAACATGACATGATTAATAACATACAATTACATAGTGTTTCCACCATAGCCAATAAAATAGGCATAAATACCCTTGGGGTTGTGGAGAACTAAGATTAGTAAAATAATTAGGAAGTGATGAGTGCTGAGCACTTATTTCCTTTCTTTTGAACAGAATTTATTTAATTGTAATCTATTGCATTTGGGGCCCTGGTAGCATAGTGGTTATGAGCTTTGCTGCAAACCAAAAGGTTGGCAGTTCGAATCCACCAGGTGCTCCTTGGAAACCCTATGGAGCAGTTCTCCTCTGTCCTGTAGGGTCACCATGAGTCGGAATCGACTCAAAAGCAATGGTTTTTTTAATTGCGTTTAGCACACAGGGCACACACAGGACTGTGCACAGGGTGCACACAGGCTGCACATGGGCCACACATGAATGGCATACAAGGTACACAGAGGCCACACATGGGCTGCCCATGAGTGACACACAAGTACACATGGGCCACACATGGGCTACACACGAGCAGCACACCAGGTACACATGGGCACACGTGGGCTACACACGATCAGCACACAAGGTACACAGGGGCCACACACGGGCTACACACGAGCAGCACACAGGGTACACAGGGGCCACACACGGGCTACACACGATCAGCACACAAGGTACATGGGGGCCACACACGGGCTACACACGAGCAGTACACAGGGTACACATGGGCACACGTGGGCTACACACGATCAGCACACAAGGTACATGGGGGCCACACACGGGCTACACACGAGCAGCACACAGGGTACACAGGGGCCACACATGGGCTACACACGAGCAGCACACCAGGTACACATGGGCACACGTGGGCTACACACGATCAGCACACAAGGTACACAGGGGCCACACATGGGCTACACACGAGCAGTACACAGGGTACACATGGGCACACGTGGGCTACACACGATCAGCACACAAGGTACATGGGGGCCACACACGGGCTACACACGAGCAGCACACAGGGTACACAGGGGCCACACACGGGCTACACACGAGCAGTACACAGGGTACACATGGGCACACGTGCGCTACACACGATCAGCACACAAGGTACATGGGGGCCACACATAGGCTGCACACGAGCAGCACACAAGGTACACAGGGGCCACGCATAGGCTGCACACGAGCAGCACACAAGGTACACAGGGGCCACACATGGGCTACACACGAGCAGTACACAGGGTACACATGGGCCACACGTGGGCTGCACACGAGCAGTACACAGGGTACACATGGGCCACACGTGGGCTGCACACGAGCAGTATACAGGGTACACATGGGCCACACGTGGGCTGCACACGAGCAGCACACATGGGGCGCTCACAGACCACACGTGGGCTGCACACAAGCGGTACACGTGGGGTCCCACACAGGGCTGTTGTGGACAGTAGGGGGACACCCCTATAATTTGCTGCCATGCCACTGTCTTCTCCGGCTTTCGTGATTTGTAAACACGCTGGGGCACTCTTCAGATAACACCCTTTTCCCGCCAACCCAGATGGACATGCACGTCTTCGAGCAGCAGCCCTCAGTACAACATCTGCGAGCAGATGATCCAGATCCGTGAGGACCACATGCGCTTCATCTCAGAGCTGGCGCGCTACAGCAACAGTGAGGTGAGCCCCACTCACGCCCAGCCTGCCCATGCGAGGGAGCCTGAGCTCTGCATGGAGACCACGGGGATCCTTTTATTTTTTATTCCCAAATATCATTTTAATTACTTTGAGACGCATAATTTAGTACCAGATACTTAAAAAGCACCCGTTATAATTGACATGCAGTGACATTAGCATTGCTACTATTTGTTCAGCTGTACAAAAAGCATCTTTTTTCAGAAAATCATAATAGGAACCCCAGAAGAAATGGGTGAGGAGATACTGTTCAGTGGCATTTCCTAATCTAGTACCATGAATCCAAGCGGCTAGAAGAGGGATGGAAGGAAGAGAGGACACGGGGAAAGAAAGGGTAATTCTTGACTTGTGGCCCTTTTTAGGTCCAAGGCAGCTCAAAGTCTAGAAGGAAAGAATATCCCAAAGCCAGAGATGGTTGCAGGAGCCTCTGAGTCGATGACAGAGGGTGTCCTCAGGGCAGTGGAATCTGTGTGTCCAGGAAGCAGGCTTGGAGTTGGCAGCCAAGGCCTTTTTAATTCCTTCCTGCTTTTCTGCTGGGTTTGCTATATCATGATTTTGGCTGTTTTCATTCTCCTCACACTGTGCAGTATGACTCCAGACCAGCTCTTCTGGAGTGTTGGGTGCGACAGGGTGGATGGTGACAGCCACAGGGCAGGTCTGACCACAGAGAGGGGCAGGAGCAAGGCAAAAAAGTTAGGGCAAAGTGGGGTGGCGATTTGGGGAGGGGGCTGACAGTGTGAATAGTCCAGAAGAACATGGGGTCTTAGTGGGGCATACATAAGCCTGGTCTTCACAAGTGGTTGGTATTTGGTACCTTAGTGTTCTCAAGAGGACTAATTAATATTTGGGCGGAACAACTCTTGTGTACTGTTGGTCCCACCCATTGCAAGGCAACGAGCATCCTCACCTGCTAAAACGCTAGCCATCATGTCAGCACAGTGACATATTACAGGTCCGTAGCAGCAGTGGCCGTGAGACACCAGGGTGTTCGCAGACTCCTGTGAGGAGGAGCACCCCTGCAGACCACTGTCAGGGGCCAGCCTAGCTGCTGCGGCAATCAGTGGACCAGAGCCCTGGGAATTCAGGATGTAATTACAAATTAAGTTCTTGGTAAGTGCTCAAAAACATGTAGAGCTGGTTTTGCACCCCTCCTGATCAGAGCATTTGACAGCATAGGTCTTATATGCTTTTCTTCCTTCTGGCTTCTGTCGTAGTACCGTTGCAATTAAGATGATGTTTTTAAATAGAAAAAAAAAAAATTGCCTTTGAATGTTTTGCTCAATTTGTATTTTTTAACAGTTTTGTTGTTGTTGTTAGGTACTGTCAAGTCGATTCTGACTTTAGCGACCCCATGTAAGAGAGTAGAACTGCCCCATATGGTTTTCTTGGCTGTAATCTTTACAGAAGCAAATCGCCAGGTCTTTCTACTGCAGAGCCCCTGGATGGGTTTGAACCATCAATCTTTCGGTTAGCAGCTGAGCACTTAACCATTGTGCCACCAGGGCTCCTTTATAGCAGCTTTGTAGAGATGTAGTTAACATGCAATTCACCCATTTAAATTGTACAATTCAAAGGTTTTTAGTATATTCACAGAATTATGCAGTCATCACAACAATCAATTTTAGAACATTTTCATCACTCCAAAAATCTCCCCCTTTCCCCCCAGCCCCCTAGGTAACCTCTAATTTACTTTCTGTTTTTCTAGTTTTGTCTGTTGTGGACTTTTTATATAAATGGATCCATATAATATATGGTGCTTTGTGATGGGCTTCCTTCACTCAACAGTTATGTTTTCAAGGTTCATCCATATTGTAGCCCGGATTTATTGTATTTATTTATTTATTTTATGGCTAAATAATATACCATTGTAAGGATATACCACGTTTTGCTTATCCATTTGTCACTTGATGGACATTTGGGTTTTGAATATGCTGCTATGAACATCTGTGTACAAGTTTCCATGTGGATGTAGTTTTCATTTCTTGGGTAGATACCTAGGAGTGGAATCGCTGAGTCATATAGTAACTCTGTGTTTAACATTTTGGGGAAATGCGAGATTATTTTCAACGTGACTGTACCGTTTTATATTTGCACCAGCAGTGTATGAGGGTTCTAATTCCTCCATACTTGTTATTGTCTGTTTTTATTTTTTAATTCTAGCCATCTTAGTGGTTGTGAAGTGATATGATATCTCATTGTGATTTGGATTTTCATTTCTCTAATCACTGATGATGTTGGGCATCTTGAGATATATTGACCATTTCTTTGGAGAAGTGCCTACTCAGATCCTTTGCCAATTTTTAAATTGAGTTATTTGTCGTTTATATTATTGAATTGTAGAAGTTGTTTATATATTCTAGATACCAGTCTCTTCTCAGATATATGATTTATATTTTCTTTCATTCTGTGGGTTCTCTTTTCAATTTTTTTTTAATAGTTCATTTTATTTTATTTGTTGTTGTTGAGAATATACACAGCAGAACACACACCAATTCAACATTTCCACATGTACATGTACAATTCAGTGATACTGATTACGTTCTTCAAGTTGTGCAGCCATTCTCACCTTTCTTTTCCAAATTCTTCCAGCTCCATCAACATAAACCCATTGCTTCCTGAGTTTCCTGTGTGATCTTTTGAGTTGCTGTTGTCAGTTTGATCCCGTATAACCAGTACTTAAAAGAACACAATTCAAGGCAGACATTCTTCACTAGTTAAGTGAAACTGTTGTCTGGTTTTAAGAAGACTTCAGGAGATCTTTTTGGTTTAAGTTTTAAGATTTAAAGAGTATCTCAGCAATAGTTTCAGGGGCTCTTCCAGCTCCCATGGCTCCAGAAAGTATGGATTCCATGAGAGTTTGAAATTGTATTCCACATTTTTCTCCCTTTTGATCAGGATTCTTTTATAGACCCTTTGATCAAAATGTTCAGTAATGATAGCCAGGCACCATCCAGTTCTAGTCTCATGGCAAAGGAGGCAGTTGTTCATGGAGCCAATTAGCCACACATTCCATAGCCTCCTTCTATTTCTGACTCTCTTTCCTCTCTTGCTCCAGGTGAATTGAGACCAATTGTTATACCTTGGATGGCTGCTTGCAAGCTTTTAAGGCCCCAGGCACTATGGAACGAACTAGGAGGTAGAAAAGAAGCAGTAAACCTGTTATATTAGGCTAATTATTAAAATTTTCCATGAAACCATGACCCTAAACCTCCAAACCAAGGAACAAAATCCATGAGGTATTTGGTTGTACATGAGCAGCCGCAGCAGCTACTCTTTTTTTTTTTGGTAAATGTATCTATCACACGTGTTTTGCCAGTGCCACTTTTTACAGGTGTACAACTTGACAGCAGTTCATCGGCTGTGCAACCGTACCATTAATCAGTGTGATTTTTTGCATCACCATAAACTTAAAAGTCAGTACTACATAAGCAACAACACTCCCTTTTCCCCCTCCCTCCTGCTGCTGGTAACACTAATAAACTTTAGTCTCTATACATTTGCCTGTTCTTGTCTTTTTATATAAGGGAAGTCATTCAATACTGGTTCTTTTGTGATTGACTTATTTCACTCAGCATAATGTTTTTAAGCTCCGTGCATATTGTAACAGGAATCAAGACTTCATTTCTCCTCCTGGTTGAGTAAGTATTCCGTTGTGTATATGTACCACATTTTGTTTCTGTGTTCATCCACCGAAGGGTATTTAGGCAGCTTCCACCTTTTGGCTATTGTAAATAGTGCTGCAGTGAACATTGGTGTACAAGTATCTGTTTGAGACTCTGTTTTCAAGTCTTTTGGATATATTCCTAGGAGGGAAATTCTGGGTCATATGGTAGCTCTATTTTTAGTTTTTTGAGGAACCGCCACACTGTTTTCCAGAACAGCTGTATCATTTTACATTCCCACCAGCAATGGATAAAAGTTCCAGTTTCCCTACATCCTCACCAGGATTTGTTATTTTCTGTTATTTCTGTTTTTTTTAAATCTTAGCCATCCTAAGGAGAAAAAAAAAAAAAAACAGGCCCGTTGCCATTAAGTCGATTCTAACTCATAGTGACCCGATAGTAGGAGTGACATGGTATCTCATTGTAGTTTTGATTTGCATCTGTTTGATGGCTAATGACCTTGAGCATCTTTTCATGCATTTGGTGGCCATTTGAGTGTCCTGTTTGGTTAAATCTCTATTGAAGTCCTTTGCCCATTTTTTTGTTTGGGTTATCTGTCTTTTTGTTGTTGTTGAAGTTTTATATATATTTTGGTTATTAGATTCTTACTGGATATATGGTTTCCAAAGATATTCTTCTAGCCAGTAGCTTGTCTTTTCGGTTTTTTGGTAAAGTCTTTTGATGAACAAATTGTTTTTAATTTTTACAAGGTCCTATTTATTTATCTTTTGCTGTTTGTTATTTTGCTTTTGTTATTATATCAGATAATCCATTGTTAAAAGCTAGGCCCTACAGTCTTGCCCCTGCATTTTCTTCTAAGAGTTTTATGGTTTTAGTTTTCACATTTAGGTCCTTCGTCCATTTTGAATTTGCTTTTATGTATGGTGTGAATCATAGATCCTGTTTCATATTTTCAGCACATGGAAATCCAGATTTCCCAACACCATTTATTGAAAAGACTCTTCTCATTGAATGGACTTCACATGCTTGTCAAAAATTGTTTGACCATACATGTATGGGTTTATTTCTGGACTCTCAATTCTGTTCCATTGATCTAGAATAGAACTGTTATAACAATTATAACAATAAAATTACCAGGCTGTTTTGATTACTGTAGCTATATAACATGTTTTAAAATCAGGAAGTGTGAGTCTTCCTATTTTGTTCTTCTCCTTCAACATTGCTTTAGCTATTTGGGCCCTCTTGCCATTCTGCATAAAGTTGAGGATTGGTTTTTCCATTTCTGTAAAGAAAGCTGTTGGAATTTTGATCAGGATTGCATTGAATCCATAAATCGCTTTGGATAATATTGACATCTTAACA